ACCCCAACTTTGACAGCATATAACCTGAATAGGAAGAATTAATGACTAGTCACATATCTTATTGTACATTTTGAGGCATTTTAGCTCTAACGAGTGTAGACATGATTTTGACAGGTCATACTCAGTCGTACTAACACAACAATAATTGTAAATGCCTATCTAACTTGAAAGTAAGTAAAGGAGTTTGGAACGGGCATGCGACTGTGGACAACACGTCATGAACAAGCATGATTGGGACATCTGACACGCGACCGTAGGCAACACGCCTTGGACAAGCATGATCGTGACAGCCTACAGCTTGACTTAAGCTCACTTCGCCTTGACAAGGTATGTAAGTTGTAAGGTTAGTAGGCATGATCTCACTCCTTATGTGAATTATATGCATATGTCAGTTACTGTCTTTTGAACTAATTAGGATACAATTGGTTACAATACCTAATAACTTGGAGTCTATGGCGTGATGATAGATTATGGACCTTAAAATCTGAAGTGGTACTATACAAGAAGATAGAGCAGGTAGAGCCTTGACTGAGACCGACCCTGCTCAAATTCCTTATAAGGAAAGGCATGCTAAGAACAAGTGTTGAAAAAAGTAGATACCATGATGCTACAATTTATGATCTAGGCCACTCAGATAAACTAGGGTAACATAAACAGTGGAGAAAATGTTAGAATATCTAGGTGGTCGAGAGTGTTAAGCTTTATGCCCTGAAGCCTCGTAATTACTTGTTTAATTTTAATAATAACTTTGATTATTTTATTTAAAATTTAATATTATCCCATATGTGATTGACATAGAAGAGGGTCATGTTTAAGAATAACCTAAAGGGTCTATAGTATATGGATAAAAGTTTGTCGATGCTAAACAACTAGAAGGTTCAACCACACCAAAGGTAGTTCCTTCAACATTTTTACATGAAGCTTTAGCAATGAGATTCTCGTAAGTTAGCTTTATGTCTATCAAGCCTAATCCAATGCAATGATTTGTTGGACTATAATCAAAATTGATTGTTATTTCAGTGGTTGAAGTTCACTTGATGTCTTCGTATATTACTTCACTAACTTTAACTCCAGAATCAAAATATACTATGAAAACGGATAAACAAGGACATCTATAAACAAATTTACCATGTAAACTTGTTTTACTCCGTTATTCTCTCCTAAAATTTTTAATTCCATGAAACCCTAAGTTATATTATTAAACTATATTATAAAACCAAATATAAATTAGGAATTCAATAATAAGATATGAATATATACAACAAATAAGGAAATATACCTGACCACGAGAGTCTTTGATCTTCTCCAAGACTTAATCCTTACTCCATTCTGAGTTCCAATGAATCTAGATGATTTCACTGTCATGTTATACACTCCATCCTCCTCATCCTCTATCCGTAAGCTCCCAATGCTACAAACACATTCAACAAAATACCAAATGCTTTCTAACCTTTAATTTCCTCACTCTAACCTAATATATTATATAACTATTTTTATCCAAAATAATTTTAAAATAATTTCAATCATTTTTCTCACGTTCAAAATAACTTAGAATATATTTTAATTATTCAAATTTAATTTAACATTTAGATTATCTTTTAAAAATTAATGCGACAAAATTATTTAAACCCTTTAAAAAACATTTCTAAACATGTTCATCCTAATCTATCTCTCGTTACCTGATTCCATGTCCAGGTCCACATGTAATACTTTCAATCTACATGCTGGATGTCCCTGGACCGATGGAGATGCAGTCGTCACCGTTTCCAATGTTCGAGTTGAGGATAGTCACATCTGATGATTGTTGCACATGGATGCCATCACTGTTTGGACTATCGCCAGAAGCCAAGACATTCACTCTTGTCATATGCACGTTTTGGCACCGATTCATTACAATGCTGAACAATTGGCTGTTAATTGAAGATGATCCATTGATGTTCACATTCTTTCCATCATTTATTTAAGACTCTATCAATTCAAAACAATCAAAAGCCAGAATTAGTAAAAATTTAAAATAATATTGTAATTAATCTAGTCATTTTCATTCAACTTTGGGTTAAAGAAAAATTTTCAAAATTTTTTTATATGGAGCCAACTCAAATTTTGCATACGGCGGCTCCAATGGGGCAACTCTTCCCTGAGTGTTTACAATTCCACGTGGGAGTTCCTTACCCATCAATAATACCGCCAGTAATGGAAAGCCCATTTATGTGATTAAACAAAATCCAAGAACTAGAATTAGCTAAAACTTGAATGTGTGAGAAAGCCACAAGAGTTCCATCAATGAGAACAGTAATAGCATTGTTCTTACAAGGCCCATTAAATCTCACACTTCGAACGAAGAATATACCCTCGGGAACCTAAATAGTGGCCGGTTCAGATGAGTCACAGGCCTTAGCCCATGCTATTTGAAGCACCGGCGAGGCATCGATCTTTTCATCGGGTTTAGCTCCGAGAGAAACAATATTGAATGTTAATTCAGCAGTTGAGGCATGGTTTAAAAACAAAAGTAAAAAGGAAAGAAAAACATGCAAGATTACAAGAAGAGACAAAGAAAACTTAATAATTCAAGTATTTTTTGTGCATCCAGAGGTGTGGAGTGATACTTTATTCTTGTTCTATTTAACCATTATTATTTTTATATGGTTTAACCATTTTTAATTAGGTATGTTAGGTAGGTAAATTTAATTTTTAAATTTAAGTCTATGGTATAAGATAAGACACTAATTGTCATTTTAATGATGGATCTCTCATTTTTAAAATTATTAAATTAAAAAAAAAATTATTTGTCAATATAATTTTATTTTTGTTTTAACTTGAAAAGGGATAGGAAGATTTTAACTAAACAAAAACCCTAATTTTTCCAACCGATTATGGATGTTTAATTAATTGTTTGGGTCACCTCAAGAACTATGCAATGTAACAATATCTGTTTCATTGACTTCTCAATGTCCTACTATAATAATAACAATTTCCTAATACTTTTAGGTGTTTATATTTTTAGATACGACTCTATATTATAATAAAAATAATAAAGAGATAGAATCGACAAAACACTATTATATATTTTTCAATCTTTTTTATCATGTCATTGTTAGTGTTGTAATAGAATATTGGTGACTTTTTATTTGCAAAGATGTCACAAATAATGAGAGGCAGAGTTGTTTGTCGTATTTGTAACTATCCAATAAATTTACAAATGCATCACAAAAAAATAATTTACAAATGTTACATTTTTGGAAGTCTTAAAGTCTATCAATAATATGTTGTTTTTATATCTATCAACAATTCTTTTTTACCATTTATAGACTTTTTTTTTTAATGCTCGCTTAATGATAGATTTGTATCACTATGATAGACATCTCTTTTCTCCTTTGATTAAATTGAACCCAATTATCACTATGATAGGTTCTTTCCTTTTATCACTTTTATTTTTGTAAAAATCATTGAACCACACTAGAAGTAGTTGAAAGTTTGTAAACTAGACTTAGATCCTTTTAAATTAATGAACTAAAATCTAATTGGTGTAGAGACAACAAATCTAGGAGGGATGGAGGGAGAGAGAGATCAATGAAAAGGTAAAATAAGTGAGGGATGAGAGAGAGATATCTTATGAATAGGCAGATTGGGTGCCTTAAGCAACTATTAGGATTTACATATAACCCGGATATGAAGAATTGAAAACTTGTCACATCCCCCTATAGTACATTTTGAGGCATTTTGATCCTCGTAGGTATAAACATGATTTTGGTGAACGGTCATACACCGTCGAATTGACATAATAGAAATGATAAAGACCTAACTCCGTGAAAACAAGTAAAAGGGGTTTGGAACGAGCATGAGACCACAGACAACACGCCTTGGACAAACATGACAGTGACATCCAGAATGCGACTACAGGTAACAGACCTTTGACAAGCATGCTTATGATATTCTCCTCCAATCAATTGGTTGACGTCTTTATCAACTCTTCACGATCTAAGCAATGTAGAATGAGGCTGACTTTATCTCTCTCGAAGCGTTTCCAACCGATCTCAGCATTGTGATATCTCTTCCAATCTACCAAGAAATTTTATAAGTCTTTTCTTGATCGGTTGATGTGTCGTATCATTCAACCAAACTCTCTTCTACTTCCTTCGTAATGAGATTCTTCATCATGGTAGGAGGTCGTATTGCCGCATTGTTATTGGTGTTTTCTTGATCGGGATGCGTTTCAAGTTTATGACGTGGATAACATAACTAGTCCTCATCCATGGGAGAAATCGGTTCCTATATAATGCCTTCCATACCTTCTACATGACTTTGACTGGTCTATAGTATTTT